AACAACCCACCGCCCTTCCAAGTGGGGCTACAGCACCTGCATTCCGAGAGGTCATTCACAAGGCGCCGACCACAGCTGGACGTCTTCTCGACTCCCGAATCTGTCAGTAACTTTCTGCTTGTAGAGGTGTGAACACATCCGTGGTTCTGAGGGTATCGGACTTGTCTTTCCGGTAACTTCCCAAAGACCCAACAATCACATGTCTGTTTGCGAGTAGTTTTAGCCTACCATAGCTCCATGGAGACGTTGGAGAGAGCTACTGACAGTTGAGTTGTTTGCACCAGCGGTGGCAGCATCACTACCACCGATCGCACCAGAAGCTGCGGCCTTTCTGCTCAGGATTCCCAGGCCGGTGCCCCCGATATGGCAGACTCGAACCGCTTCCCGCTGACCAGCACCTGCCTCTTCGACAAGCAGGTGGAAGTCGGGTCTTCTTGAGGTACCCAGAACAAAGAGATGAGAAGAGAATAGACCCGATGTAAACGGGGCTTGCAGCACGTACCGCAGTATGTTGGAGGGCGTGTGTTTTATAAAGCAAGGGCTTTCAGATCGCTTTACCAGTGCATGAAGGGTTCTGCTACGGTCATGTTCTGCTTCAGAGATTCCGGAGTCTTGCTGATTTCTCATTGCCGGCATTTGAGCGCTGGATCTTGCATGTTCTTTTCCCACCTTAAAGCAGTGAGGGCCTCAATCGGAATCGTATTGCAGTTGGAACCCCATGTGCGCACGTTGCACCCTTCACTTTGCACAGAGCCCTCTTCGAGCATGAGACTTATCGTCTAAAGAGTCCTTGAGCAGGAGCCGCAGCACGTCGCCTATTCGGAGTGCAAGAGGCCCCGGGGGGTTTTCGGCTTTGGACGGCCCTTCCCATGGTTAATTGGGCAGCTTTCAGGTGCAGGATCCACTCTGGAGCCCCTGCCCCACGGAGAAAGGACTCAGAAGCGAAAGCTTCTTCAGACATGGCTCCGAAACTGCTTGCGTGGTGATCCCACGGGGCTGTCAGCGCTGTGCCTGAGGTGGGAGAGGGGGAGCTTTGCCGATAGCTTGGCTCCGCCAGCGACGTCGAAGCGCTCGCTTCGGTGCCTCGACAGGCCGTTTTTTTTATCTCTCTGGCCTCTGTCGGGATGCAGCTGTGGGGCTTTAGGAGAGGAGAGAGCATTTCGACGCTCTGATCGACGGTGGCAGAGCTAGACAAGAAGATTCATCATTTCCGTCATTTTTACCTTCCATCCTCCTCCAAGGCGGCTGCTATCTGGCCTTGATGGGAGCAAGTCGCTGTGCCTGCAGCTCTGCGAGATTCTCCGGGCCGCGGTACCCGATCAAAGGCACTGCCTGGGGCCAAATGCATTCGCAAGAAGTCTCGCTTGGAGTGTCTGCCTTCCCTTCAAAGGCAAGCCGATGACTGCGCCATCAGCGTGCTTCGGTATCCGAACGTCATCCGAATGGATGTCGTCAAAGCCATGAGGGCTTTGCCGCAGGAGAAGTGGGGGTTGACTCGGGGTACCTTCTGCTATCAACATCTGCGCTCTCCCCCCCTCCGCCCTCGATGAATGTGGCAAGAACCAGCTGCCGCGGGGACATCCTTGGTATTCGGTGAATGGGTAGCGGCATGAAGTACATACTCTAAATCCTGAACCCCAAAGCCCCGTGGCTACTGCTTGGCTCAATCTGTTGCCCAGATTTTGCCGTCCAGAGCTTTGAGCCATCGACACGGACTTCCCCAAGACGTCCCACCAACCACCCCCCTTGCGCCCCAAATCTCTGATTTGTTGAAGCAAGATCCTGTCCCTAATCTTTTTCTGAGAGGAGCAACTCGTAGGGATCTTCAAGGAGAGTTTCGCCTTTCGAGGCTGGGGGGGTGAGGGTGTGGTCGTGCACGCATGGTTTCCGGTCTAAGATTGAGGTGTCTGGGCCTAAATCAGGGGTGTGAGGACATGTTGGTTCAGAAGGCGGCCCTGTTGAGGGCTTTACATCAGCAGCACTTCTTTCGACTCGGCTTTGCAAAGCTGGCTTTTCACAACCCAAATACACTGGACTTAATCAAGAGCAGGGACGCCCCCAGAAGCGGGCCTTCATGATCAACGAAACCAAACATGGAGCGACGAAGACGAGTGCAGAAGGGAATGGTTCTTGCAGATCAAAAGCAGTGGAGTTTACCCTGGACGACCCTCACTCCGACTGTGAGCGCAGAGAGCTTCAGTCTGAGGGCTGGCAAAGGCCCAATTGAATTGGGGTTGACATGTCCCTGCCTGAAGGGCACCGGCACATCCTGCACATCCTCCATTCTACCTCATAAGAGTCGGATGCTTCATACCCGGCACAGTGGGCGGGGCAGGACCTGCGCCTTATAACCTGCTCTTACTGCCTTCGCCCCTGCCTTCTTGGCAGCTTAAGGCCCTTGACTCTGACCAGGCATCGCCTACCACCTATGGAAGCTACACATTCCTCTGTGCAGCTCAACTGCAAGCAGCCTTGTCCAGAACCGGGGCAGCCTACGGAGCAATGCAGGAAAAAGATGTATGTATATTTGTATCTATTTGAGTGCTAACTACGTGTTGATACACCATGACGTGCAAGGCTGCTCCTGCGAGTCATCCTTTGAGTCCTGAGGCCTCTCACGGTTGCAACAGCGCTACGAACGAAACTCCTACTCGCAGGGAAAGGTTCCCTCTGGCACCTTATGTATTAGATGGCATCATATATCGTCATAATGCTGTATTGTAGGATAGACTCCTGTACTTTGTTCATGCAGCACCAAGACAAAGCCGCTCCCTGAGGCTGCTTGGACGTGTCTACCACGGTGCTGCAGTTTGTGAGCCTCCTTGTTTGGTGGCGGCATCTCGCTTTCGTTTAACCCTGACACCCCACCTTCGAAGCTTCACCGATGCGTAGAGAAAGCATTCGGGGCATTGTGGTGAGGAGGTGTGCTCAGTGCTCTTCTTGCCTCAGGAACTTTGCAGACGGCTCCGTCGTGCGCCCCTGCTGGTGCATCTTCACTGCCTGTGTGCTGCTGGACGGGCGGGGGGGGATTCGTAAACCCGGGAAGGGGCTGTGCTCAAGAAAAATGCACTTGCAGATGCCGCCCTCAGAGGACACCTCCACCGTCCTGCTGGACCTTTCTGGCCTCTGCTTGCCACTATTCAAACTCCTCTTGCAGGCCAGCCGGGCGGCTCGAGGGCTTGGGCCTTCCAACCATGGCAACACGGTACAGAAACGACAACTAGCACGGCGGAAGCCTGAGTTCTCGTTCCAAGGCATCTGTCACTCACTATGAAATTTTCATGCTGGTCACCCTTCACACTGTCGTTGTTCGCCCAACCTGTGGAGTCACCGGTTCCGTTCTCCATCAGCCAAGCTCTCCGTAAGGCTTCATGCAAAGAGCCCGAGCTTTGCTCTTTGGGCGAACGATGTCGGACCCGAAAATATAGCATGAAGAGCCTTTTCTGGGATGCTCTTTGCTCTTGAGGCCGGCTTCGGGCTCTGGATGGCCTGGGTGACCTGGGGCGGAGACTTGACGGCGGAGTTCCGGCCGCCCATGGCGACCAACCTGGCTCTGAGCATCCTGGGTGCCTTTCCGGAGAACCGTTACTACCGTCGCTACCGTTACAGCCGAAGCTGGAGGCGACCCATAATACAAACAGGAAGTCTCAAAACCCTACGCCCTATTTAGGAGCTCCATCCACATCTCGACACTACACGATGAGGCATCGGAAGTGCCGAGTCTTGTCCGGCGACCTCCGTTTACACAGGGGTTAGCTCCATAGGCAAGCGTGCACTCAGAACTAGTGCAAAAGCGGGAGTGTGGTCTTTGCAAAAGCCAAGAAATTGAGGCACCATCTACGAGCTGCGGCTGCGCCTTAGCCTTTCTGAGTATGCTATCTGTTTCGAATGCCTTTGGCGCCCAAACCCAGGATCACTTCTGCTCTTGAGCTCTGTCCTACCCGAGGTTCTATCCTCTTGGTCTTCCTCTGGGTGGCAACCTGCTGCCAATCATGCCACTGAGCTGTTGGAGCTGTGGGGTTGAGACTGAATTTGCCCCTTCCAGCGATTTCGGGCCACTCACTAGAAGTGTGAGTAGTGGTGGGCAGACAGACACCCCTCAGGTCGTGTAGAACCAAACAAGAGCGACGAAAACCAGCAACAGCAAATGCAACAGCAATTACCACGACCAGAGCTGCAACAGTGGCTAGCGCGATGCGACATCAGTCATCTGCTCACACACCACTAGCCCTGATGCTTACCATCACTACTAAGTCACTACTACCAATACTTCCGACATTTCGACGACGACGATGACATCGGCGGTCTGCTGCAGCTGGTGCTATCCCTTCTTGAGCACAAAAGAAGCAGAACAGTTCCAATGATTTCTCGGGCACTCCATCCTGTGCTTCATCCTTTCAATGCTGCGATGTCTCGAGGCGGGCTGCGCAGACGGGCGAGTTCATCGCTGCTGGATCCAACAGTTGAAGGGTTCCATCTGGTTTGTTCTTGATTGAAGGCTGGTGTCGCTTCTATGAAGAAGCGTTCTCGTGCGCCAAACAGAACCTTGCAACCAACAACTCCGAAAAGCAGCATTGAACCTCGGTTTGCTGGAGGAGGGATCGGGAGGTTCGGTTTGGAGGGACACGGTACTGATAACCTAGGACTCAGCTGCTGCGGTTCCGGATTGACTGTTGACGGCGGCATGAAAGGGGCCTCACCATCGGAGTGTGCTTGGGAAAGTGGGTCGTTCACGGTTCAACTCGCACTTGTCAGCAAGTGCACTCTCATCTCTCATGGACTTGAAGGGATTTGAAGACCGATGCAGTGAGGCAATGCTTATCCTCCTGGCGTGCCTCAGCTGAAGGTTAGTGGGAGTTGAGTCTGAGTTGAGGCCTCACATCATCAGGGCTCAGGGCTTGGATATGTACGAGACTGCTTCAGCCAGCTTCATGCTGGTTTCTGGCCATGGGACGGTGGGACGCTGTCGGTGGTGTATTCATAATCAGTCAGGACCGCTTTGCTAGGTGCGCCCTCCAGACTTTTGCGCATGAGTGTTGATTAGATCCTGCACTGTGGAAGAATTCTGAGCCAGAAACCCTGCGAGGAAACGGTGTGATTCTCTCTCTTTCTTTCTCTTCCTCTCCCTCTGTCTGAAGGTCAATCCTGGTTGCCACCTACCTGGCAGCTTGCGTGGAGTTCTTCCAAGACCCGGACGCTTTGCCGCCCTGCTCGAGCAGTTCCGACGCTGGTTCTATGTCTCCTGCCTCTCTCTCACTCTCGCTGCCTCGCTCGCTCGCTCTCCCTCTCTCTCTCGCTCTGTCCGTCTCCACTAAAGCAGATGGAGGCCAGGCAGGTAAATGGATGGGGGCATTTAGCAATAGATGTCGATCGTTATTTCTCCTTCTTTGTGCCATGCTCAGCAAGTCTCTGTGTGTGTGGGCTACATGCTACTGAGCAGAACAAAGCAACAGCCAAAAGCAAAAGGTTCTTTCAACATCGGCACAAGCAGGGTCGACGGCAACTGCCGGCAACAGTTGCAGCCAGATTCTTTCGCAGAAGAAAACCCAAGGCTGCCAGTGGCGGTGAGAACCTGGCAGACGCTCATCATCGGGGAGTCCGCATTGCATCTTGGCATGCTGCACGACCCAAGGATCCCTAGCTCGTTAATTCCCACAGGCTCGAAAGCCCAAACCCAGTGTTTCGATTTCTCGGTCACAGCCCCTACGCTCCTTTGGCAAGTGGAAGCATGAATTGCTATTATGATGCATGGCACGTGAGTATTGCACTATCAGTTGTAAGTGCATGCAACCATATCGAAGACACCGATCATTCGAAGGTCGAGTTCTTTCTACCGGCCTCGCAGGGGATTGCGGGTCTTGGGGAGAATCTCTGGGACACTTCGCTACCTTTCACGGAAGCGTCGTATTCAAGATTCCGTATTTGTCAGGCGTGGACGTAGACACGTGCTTGAATCTTGTCCCGAATCGTCCCGTCACAGGCCGAAAGCATGAGCGGATCCTTGCAGGTATGATGTGGATGACTACGGACACCATCTGCTGCGCTACCTCTGTGTGTCAGCCTTGCCTCTTGGACATACTTCGGTGACTAAGACATAGCCGTAGCCCTTCAAGGATGCCTAAAGTGGAGAAAAGCTGCGGATCATTCGTTTGTATGGGCCCATCATGGGGAATAGGCAAACATTAAGCGAGGACTCTGCTTCTCTCAGACGAGGCATTTGTCGTGCTTGCCGCCTGCTTTCAGCTGAATCACGGAGGCTTTCATCGTCCTGTCCTCCCATGTCCGGTTCCCAACATGCAAACTGGCAGTGACGGCTGAAGGCTCTGCTTTAGACGTTTCAGGTTTTTCGTTTGCTTCGTCGTGCTGATGAACATCTTCATCAACGTCACCGGCGCAGGTTATGATGAGCCTCGCTTACACAATGGCTTTCAGTTGCCCTCCCTGCGACTGTTCGAAAAGTACCAGCAGCCATCGCCATCTTAATTAATGAATATGCAGATATGCACTTTTTTGACAAGACGAGGCAGAGCAGCATGTAGCAGGCAGGGATACGACAGACACGACTTGCTTTGCTGGCGACGGGTCTTCCTCATTCACAAGGCAAAACTGCTGCACAGCTTATCGGAATCATGGCTATCAGTGGCCTGTCGCGAGAACCTAGCCGGCCCTCAGTGATACTATCGAGACCTGATGTGGGACTCCTGAACCCTAGACACAGGAAGAGAGGGCCAAAGTCGTGGGCACATTGAATGCGGAGCGCTTCGCGACCTGCCTGGCCGCTCAGCCTTGTGAATACTCATGTGTCGCGTCCGTCTTGGGTCAGTCATAGTGCTGACAGTGCATCGGTACAGAAGGAGACCTTGGAAGGGTACGTGACTCACTTGTGACTTCTGCCGGTACTCACTTGTGACTTCTCCAGCTTTTCCCGAGTCCATGCTCACTTGTGACGTTTGTTTTGCTTCACTTGTGACTTCTCTGACACGATGATTTGCGCACGTCGGCAAGTATGCTTGAAATCACTTGTGACTTCTCCGCCTTGTCACTTCTCTGGCACAAGAATTCGTAAACCTTCTCAGGTGAAATAGCTTGTGACTTCTCGGCTCATTTGGCGATGCTACTTCATCATCTATCTTGAAGACGGCCTCTGATTTGGCGATGCCGGTGCCTCCTATATCTTAAACACGCCCCTCCATTTGGCGACTCCGGTTCATCATATATCTTAAACACGCCCCTTCGTTTGGCGATTCCGGTTCATCTAATATATCTGGAACACGCCCCCTCATTTAACACCCCGCCCCCTCGTTTGGCGATTCCGGTTCAAGATATATCAAAGGCCCTCTCGTTTGGCGATTCCGGTTTCATCGTATGTCTTAGACACGCCGCCTCACTCGGCGATGCTACTTCATCATGCATCTTTAAGACGGCCCCCGATTTGGCGATGCCAGTGCCGCCTACATCTTAAACACGCCCTCTCGTGTGGCGATGCTTATTTAACATTGATCTAAAACATGCCCCCTCATTAAGCGGTTCCTCTATCACGATGGTGGGCCATCATATATCTTAAACATGCCCTCTCGTTTGGCGATT